TGGCGACTGCGTCGTTGGCGCCAGGCGGGGGCGCAGCGGGGAGCACGGGAACTGCGCCCTCAACCCCCCGAGGCAATGCAGTGGAGGGCATGACGACTGGGACGCCGTCACTCCGAGGCACTACACCTCAGGACTCGACCCTTCGCTTTACCTACTCAGACCCGCCAGACGGGCAGGACGGGACCCCCATCGCACTTCTTTGGGCGATCGTGCAATTGGCGGTGCTCAGTACAGCGACTACACGCCGTACGTAGAGACGCCCGCGACTGCGCCGCGGGATGCCCCGAGCACCGCGACCACTACAGTGGCACGACAGAAGCAGAAGCCCAATGCGCTGACGAGGAGGAGCACATCCGGGGCAAGTATCCTCGGCGACACATGCAACGCCGCTCGAGGACCCCTGACCCCCAGCACCTCCGCGACATGTGGAGGACGCTACACTCCAGCTGGAGGGCCTTCGGATTCGGCATGTTCGTCATCGCAAGCTGCATCGCCTGCATGGGCGCGGGCGGCGGCAGCGGCAACATCTGCCACCTCCGCACATGGGGCCGAGCACCAGGCTCGCGCGCCTCCCCAGGAACGGGCGCGTGAGGTGATGACCTGGGCAGTGGCGAACTCAGACCTCGACGAGTTTCGCCAGGCGGCCTACGCATCCTCGCGCCGCACCGGCATGGCGCGCGAGCACATGGACGAAAGGCCGCCAGTTCCCCTGACCCAGGGAGGTCTCTTCAACGGCAACCCAGCGCCACCGACGACCCTCTTCATTCACAGCTCGGCCGCATGTTGGGGCCAGCTGGGCGAGGAGGATCGCGCCTCGGCAGCATCGGCTCTGATGAAATTCAACCGACTGCCGCAGGGGCGCACTGGCAATTTTTCGACGAGGTTCGACATCCTCTACAACCGGGCGCAGCAAGCTGGTCAACTCACGACCGGCCACGAGGGGCTCAGCTTCCTCCTGCTGCGCGCCGCCGGCGCGTCGAACGCCCAACTCACCGTGTCCCCACAGCACTGCTACATGGCCTACCCCAAGAACGCTCTGAAACTCGCCCATACGATGGGCCAGCGGAGACGCCGTGGGCGCATGATAGAGGGACCGCCAGGCAACCTCGCCTCAGAGGCCCACTCGGCCCAACGGCGCACGTTCCTCGCGAGCGCCCGCGCAGGAGCTGAGCTGGGACGGCATGGGTCCTGCTGCGCTGGGATCGGCACCAAGACCCCCTGCACCAGCCGAAGCCGCGTCTGGAGGCTGCGCCTCTAGCGCAGCGCCACCGGCACGGGGGGCATACCCAGCAGCAGAGATCCTCATTCGGCGAGGAGATAGCCGCCGACGACCCCGAGCTACGCGACACCCCCGTGGATCAACGCGCGGCGCACCTCTGTTGGGCCCACGAGCGTTCCAAAGCACGCTAGCGCATGTTCAACAACAACAGCAACAACAACAACAATAAGTTTAAGATTGGTCGCTCTTATCTGCTTGCGTGTCATTCAATATGCATATCCCAAACCCTGGACACCCGCCCTCTTCGTCTTCGATCGTACCCCCTTTTGGGAGGTATATTCATTCCCTGCCACGCGTGGTTGGTGAAGCCCTTGAAAACGAAGGGTGACAGATAACCGGACAGAATGAGGACGAAGGGATCGCAGGAAGGGAGGGGTGGGGCAAGAAGGAGGGAGGACGATGATTTGCGCTGCGAGCGGCGACTCAGCTTGCGCCATGGCTTGCGCCAGCCACTCCAACACAGGTTAACAATAAGCTTCGCCATGGGTCGCGCCATTAACAGCGCCACGTACCACCCCCTTGAAAGAACATATCGTGGATACCCCCACGGGGGGACGTACAGCTGCGAACTGGTGTCAGAAACAAATTTCGTGGAACCGTGAAAAGAAACAGGATGTTGGGAGAGTGGGGCGGAAGGATAGTGAGAATTGCAACCGTGTCGAGAGGAGCGCGAAAGCCCCAAGTAAAACGCGATTCTTTAATAAATTGTAAGGAAGTATCAAGCGGGAGCCGCGATCCGGTGGTAAATTGCAAGGAAGTCCCAAGCGAGAGCGCGATTCTTCAATACATTGTGAGGAAGTATCAGGCGGGAGCCCTTGCTGTTGTAAACCAGAGGCCAACGACACAATTTGACCCTCGAGGCTTACCCCTGCTAAAAAACAGGGTGCGAGCCTCAGGAAGGGCACTTCAATCGAAAAAACAATTTGCACTAAACGGGGAGGATCAACAGTAATTATTCTTCATAACTGAGAATTCAACATGCCCACGCGCCACGCCCGGAGGGTCATCAAACGGAAAGGCAGGGGCAAAGGTAAAAGCTACCGCGCTTTCCTAACCACCCCGTCCGAGAACGACCTCCGGGAGACCTTCGCGGGTTTCGGGAAGGGCAAAAGCAAGGGGAAGTTCAGGACCACGGGCGTGGGCTCGGGCAGCTAAGGCAAACCCCTGGGCCCTGACGGGTCGTGTCTCGAATGCCACGAGTGCGACTCCGAGGAGCACCTCGTGCGCGACTACCACGGACGCCGCCGACAGGGGCGCGCTCTCTTTTTCAACGCCCGCGCCCCAGCACCACCATCAGCACCGTCATCCACACCACTTGTTTTCCTGGGACAGCAAAGGCCGCCAGGGCCGACCCAGCAACCCATGCCGGGAGCATGCCCAGTCTGGATTGCCAGGGACACTTCCGCGACTCCTCGGCCAGTGGCTGGGGACACCAGGAATGGCGATCCATTGCAAAGCGTTGACCTTTGGAACGGCGGACAGCCAACTCCAGCAGCGCCCGCGCCACGGCCATCAGCGCCAGCGGCTAATCCGAGTTCTTCGTCGGACGGTTCGCGGCAAACGATAGGCCACAACCCGTGGTTAATGAGGGCGGGGACATCGTCATCATCTTCGCCCTCGCCACACGAAGCCGAACTGCGACGGCTACGTTAAGAGATGGCCGACCTCATGGGCCGTGCACAAGCCTCTGCAGCACCGACGGTTCCGGCGACTGCATCACCGGGCCGTTAGGAAGCAGCAGGCCAGCTACTCTAGCAGCCCCAGCGGCACCACCACCACCACCACCAGCAACGCCACAATGGTGGACTCAGGTGGACGGTGCATTCCCATTGGCACAAACCCAGGGGCGCGACTGGATAGGCGACCTCAACGCACGTGTCGCCGCGCCCCCAACCAAGTCTGCCGACGTGCAGTTGCCGAGCTGGGCTTACGCGCCTTCAATCTCAGCCCTCGGCATCAGCACACCATATGGATCGAGCTCCGCGTGGCCATCACAGCCCGCATTGGCAGCCACGTCACCGCCAGTGCCGGAGTCTCCCAAGGACTTGGCTCTGTTCAATCAGAACAGCCCCGTCGACGTGAGCCAACCGTCCGGGAGAGTGGCCATGTGGTTCGCCGGTCACGACACCTGGATGTCCGGCGGCGGCCGATCCGAGCACAGCTTACACACCACCCTCGATCATGCGCAATGCAGGCACTTCGACGAGCTCCACAGTACACAGCTGGCGCTCGAGCTCGCACGGCAGAAAGATGAGCAACGACGTCAGGCCGCACAGAGTTGGACGGAGAGACCTGTTTATCCTTTTCCTGTGCCGGCCGCTGCGGCGACGACAGGGAACGCCCTATCTGCCTGGAGGTTTTCCAGCACGGCGAGTGGCTGGTAGGCCCGCAATGCCGCCACATCCTACATCAAGCATGCCACCGGCAACTTTTGCAGAGCGCAGACACCCGTTTGGTGCACTGTTCGGCGTGCCGCGCACAAGCCGACGCCATCGCCGAGTTCCGCCTCATTGGTGCGGACCGTGCACCGACAGTTCCGGCGCCTGTGGCACCGGCCCGCGCGGCAGCAGACAGTGCACCCGCGGTTCCGGCAATTGTATTGCTGGCCCGCGCACCGTCGCACATGGACGTGCCAATGGAGATCGCACCACAGAAGGACCTTGCGCAGTCTCCCCGTCCAGTCCCTGCCACCAGAACGCCTCGGCCAGACTTCATACGGTCGCTGGGCAGTGCATTTAGCTTCTCGTCCGCAGTGGACACATCGGTGCCTTACGACACCCTGCTGGACATGCACATGCCGCCCTACAGGCCGACGTTCCCGTGGTTGCCGACCTCGTCGGGTACAGGCTCGAGGCCACTAAACGACTCTCCGTATTACCTGGCGAGCACCGACCTGCCAGGTGGCCGGTTGCGCGTCATCGTCGACACCAGCGCTTGGACCAACCTTTGGGGACTGCGTTTCGCCATGAGTTTGGCACACACACACACTCCGAAGCCGGAATTTATACATGACCACCGCTTGAACGATCAATTTCCGGGGACTTCGGCAGCCGGTGGATATTGACATATTCGGGCCGACGGGGGCCACAATATATATGTATATATATAGCCATACCCACCGCCCGCTGGCGCTGGGGCACCAGGACGTCGGTTCCCAGGCGGTGGATATGGATAAATCCCCGCCTCGCACACAAGGCACAGCAAGCCAAACTGCAGCCTTCCGAGGAGAGGTTGCCGTCTTCACGCTACGCAGCAGGAGCCAGCAACGGGTCGCAAGAAGGCGAACTACGAGGTGCACTGTCCCATCGCAACGACTTCCCGCGGCTGCGTAACCAGTCAGCACAGCATGCGCGCCCCAGCATTGGAGGGCGCAGGTGCTGAACTCCCTGCTCTCTTAGGTCTGCAGCCCATGCAATCCAACAACGGCGTGGCGAAGACAGGTGTTGACCGCAAGCGCCTCGCGTTTCCCAGGCCAGGCGGCTAGCAGTATGAGCTCGGAGTGCCTGACCCCTTTAGACGCGTGGATCATCATCATCATCATCATCATCATCATCATCATCATCATCATCATCATCATCATCATCATCATCATCATCAACAACATTATTATCATCACCATCATCATCGTCATCGTCATCATCGTCATCATCGTCATCATCGTCATCATGTCATCCTTCTGCTCCTCTTCGAATGCTGGCTCCCCGCGCCCCCCTCCCCCGAGGAGCGCAAGAGGGAGCAGGTCCTCGACCAGAACCTGGTGAACGCCGCCTACCGCGGCAAGATCGTGGAAGTCGCCCGCGAGTTTAACTGCGTGGACACGGTGGGCATCCAGCGAGGGCCCCCCCTTGCAGGGCCCTGTTCTTCACCCCCCTCTCGGGCCACCCCCCCGACCACCCGCCCGACAGGACCGGTGTTTCATCTTGGCGTGCTTTTTGATTGCCCCGGGGCCCCGCGAGGGCCCCCAGAGCCCGAAAACTGTGACAAGCTGCTGTCCTCATTGTTTCGTGCTCCGAGGGGGTCTGGGCACGGTGGGCACCCAGCCAGGAGCCCGAGGGGCGAAAAGGAGAGGGAGGAGGGCCTCTCAGAAGCACGCCTGCTTCTTAGAAGGCGGGGGCCTTGACTGTGGATGTAAGGCCGGCGCCTTCTAAGAAGCAGCCTCCTTCTACGAAGCCTCCCCCCCTCCCCCAGATCCCCGCCTTCTAAGAAGCAGCCTCCTTCTACGAAACCTTCCCCCCTCCCCCAGATCCCCGTCTGCGCACCGCCAACTCTGGGAGCGCCAGCCGTCTCTGGGCCCCACGGTGGCCATCAAGGAGCGAGGCCCAGGACGAAGAGCCAGCCGATGGGGATGGGATCGAGATCGAAGAAGGAGAAGCGGCAAAAGGCATACACATCACTTGTCGGAGCTCAGCGCGGATTTGTTGGATCGGTTCTGGACCCCCTTGGCGGCGCCTCCAGCGCCGCCACTGGCGCGCTCCGAGCGTCAGGGTTCGCACAGATATCTTGGCTTGGGGCTGGACGAGTGCCAATCCAAGAAATCCGCGCGAACCCTGAGATCTGACGTTGCCCCTTGTGCGCGCCGCCGAGGAGCAAAACACTCCACGAGCAGTAACAATCGGAGGCTTGCGTGGCTCTTCCTTGGAACGCCGCCAGCTCCCCCGCTCTCCCCCTTCGCGCACTTCGCGCGCGCCGATGGAGGGGAACGGGCGTGGGGAGGGGGGACCAGCGGAGGAGGAGGGCGAGAAGGGGGAGGGAGGAGGAGGACCATGAGGGGGAAAAAGAGGGGAAGGAGGGGTGCAAGGAGAGGGGAGAGGACGAGGAGAAGGAGCGGGACAGAAAGAAGGGAAGGAGAAGGAGGAGGAGGAGGAGGAGGAGGAGGAAGAGGAGGAGGAGGGGGAGGGGGAGGAGGCGGAGGAGGTGGAGGAAGAGAGGGAGGACCTGCGCCCATTGATCGCCGATGGGGCTCTGGCAGCCCCACCCCGCCCAGGAGCGTGCGGATTCACCATCGGGGGGCCGATCGCCGAACGATCGGCGATGCATCGCCGATTCCAGGTCGAGGTTCCCCTCCCTATAGGCCAGCCCCCCTTCTCGTCGCCCCTCACATCGAGGGGGGGCACCGAGGGGAAGCCACCGAGGGCGGGGGCGCCCAAACTCGAAGAAGAGTGAGCGGTGTCCACAAGCTGTCGATGGTCCGCGCGGACTTCCTGGATCCGCGCAGGGACCTCCCGTGGCGGCGCCTCTGCGCGCCAGGGAGGGGGGCCAGCGCAGATCCATACCAAGTGGAGGTTATGCTTACAGTGGAGGCCCATGCCAAGAAACACACTGCTTGCCTCCAGAGTGCCCTGGGTTTCTTGGGTTTCGATGGTTTTGCCGTGGACAGCGGGACGTGCCCACACCAAAAGTCAATGGACGTCCTGGGGTCTCAGGGTTTGGTTTCTTGTGGAAGGTTTCTTGTGGAGTGGCCTCCACTGTATGCAAGCTCGATGTTCACCCCCCCCTCAGCTGGTCCCCCGATCTCACTGCACCTCAAGGGAGAGGGGGCCCGCGCCGACCCCAGCGGCTCCACGCGGGCCCCAGAGAGAGAGTGCGTGCTCGTGCCGTGTGGCTCGTCCCTGCCAGGTGGGCATCCAGCCGGGAACGACTGGGAAGCCCTGCGAGCACCACTGCAGCAAGAACGCGGTGATCGCCCACTTCACAGGCCGCCGGGGGCGGCCAGCATGCCCAACACTCCTCCTCCTCCTCCTTCTTCTCCTCCTCCTCCTCCTCCGCCTCCACCTCCTCCTCCTCCTCCTCCTCCTCCTCCTCCTCCTCCACCTCCTCATCATCATCACCACCTCCTCATCATCATCATCCTCCTCCTCCGCCGCCGCCGCCGGGGGCGGTAAGCATGCCTAACATCCGCGGCCTCGCGGCCTGGACTCCTCGGCAGCGGTCCCACGGATGCCGGGCGTCCGTGGACCGATGCCCCAGGCAGAGCACATCCATGGGATCGCGGATCCATGGGACCGAGTCGCGGTGTCCAGACCGAGAGGGCACGGGTGTGGACATGGTCGCGAGCTTTGGCTTAGCGCTTTGCGCCGCCGTGCTGGCCCACCACGCCTCGGCGCGACACGCTAACTTATCCACGTCCCAGTCCCCAAGCGTCACCGTCCCGAGATTTTCCAAGCCTCCCGTCCCGCGGAGCGGAGCGACGCGCTATCCGCTCGCAGAGCATAGCATGTCGCGGGCCGCCGCCGCCGCGACACGCGAAGCAAAAATATCAAAAACGGCATACCCCACACTTACTCGGAGTTCCCGGCGGATAGGACCGATCCAAGAAGTCCGTGCGGAACTCCGCCAGATTATGTTTGTGCAGTGATTTGTAATTATGCCTCCTCTGATCGGTACCACCTCACTGACGCCGTCGGCATCGGAGTTCGGATCAAACGCTGCCGTCCATCTGCTCTACCACCACCTCCTCTTCCTCCTCCTCCTCCTCCTCCTCCTCCTCCTCCTCCTCCTCATCATCATCATGCTCCTGCTCCTGCTCCTCCTCCTCCTCCTCCTCCTCCTCCTCCTCCTCCTCCTTCTCCTCCTCTTCGCATCCTCCTCCCCCTGACCGTATGCCCGCCGCTCGCGAGGCCACCCGAAGCCCACCAGCCCCAAGAGGAGGCTGCTCGAGCTCGTGAGGCGGCCCGGCGCCCCCGCCCTCGCGTGCATGAACACGAACTTCGGGTCTTGCGGGAAGTGGTCCGAGTTCTATTGCGACATCCGAAGGTGGCGCGCGCCGGGGGGCCCTTTGGGCCGAAGAGAACAGCACAGCATAAACATAATCTGTTGGGGGTCCGCGCGGAGTTCTTGGATCTACGCTGGGACCCCCTGGCGGCGCCTCCGGCGCCGCCCCTGGCGCACTCAGCCCCTGGCGCGCTCCGCGCGCCAAGGAGAAGGGTTCAGCGCGGATCCAAGAAATCCGCGCAGAGTTCCAAAAGTGTATGATTAAGCAGCTTGCTTTTCCTCAACTGGGGCCCGCTAGGGACCGACCCCGCGTGAGAGTGACCGCTCGCCGGAGTGACCTCTGGTGCGGGCCCACGGGGGTGGCCCCAGCGCTGGTCTTCCCACTCGAATCTGGCCCCGCCGCGGCCCCCGAAAGCCGCACACCAGAGGTCACTCCTGCCCAGGGTCACCCCTGCGTGTTGGCGACGGGTGGCGCTGAGGTGGCCCAGCGCCGGTTCAAGCCAGCAGAACGGTTTTCCTTAGACGCAACGTTGGTGTACACATATACAGTTCGCAGTGTATTGCTAGCACGACCCTCTGCTGGGCCTCTGAGGCAAATTGCTGCGGGGGTGGGGAAGCGCTGCTGCAATCCCGCCCATCCCGCCTGCGCTAAACCGTGTACGCAACTATCTTGCCAGAAATTGAATTCTGAACTATCTTCACATGATGCCGAAATGGCCCAGCGCTGGTTCCGGCCAGCAGAAGGGCTATCCAGAAAACCCACGAGATGTTGGGGCGTTCGAGATTGAGGATCGGTGATTCGAGGATCGAGGTTTTGGGGCGGCCGGGATCGAGGATGTCGAGGGAGGACTTCGAGGATCGAGGATCGAGGGTCGAGGTCTTTATTCCAGAGGAGGGCCAGTTGGAACAACAGTAGCTGGCCGTCGGGGCCCCCCCTCGTCGCCACGGCTGGACGCGGCGCGAAGAACTGGTCGGTTTCGACCCCGGGAAGAGTCCAGGGACCGGTCATGAGCGGATCTGCCTCTCTCCCCCCCCCCTTGGCCGATTCTCTCGGGGCCCACCCACCTGGCGCAAACCACCCCGGGCCGGTTCCAGGCAGCAGCGCAGCAACGCTTGGCCAGGTCCGCCCAGTCGGGTGCGACGAGGGGGTAAGACGACGCGAAGATCGGGACAAAATCGGATCGGGATAACTCGAAATCTCTGAGAATCGGCGGGTTTGGAGGATGTATTGGGCGCCGCGGCCGTTCCAGAGCGTTCCGGAACGCTCTGAGAGCGCTCCGGAACGCTCTGGAGCGATTTATCCCGATCCTAGCCTTGTTTTAGGGGAGGAGAAGCTGAAAGGTGGGCACAGAATGTGCTGAGTGCAGTGGGTGTCGCCCCCGCCGCGGGGCGCCTTGCTCGATGAATGGGTGCCTCTGGCGCCGGGAGAACCAGCCGCGTGAGCCGATCCCCTGCCCACCCCCTTTGTTGCTGCCCGCCGGTCATCCGCCCTGGCATGGTGTGTACACCAGCCTGGCCAAGGCCAAGAGGACCCCAGAGATCCGATATCTCTCCATACTGGCTCCCCAGAAGTCCCGACCTCCTCCCCAGGCCCGGCTGGTCGTCCCGAGCCGTTGCTTGACGGCCCCCAGGGTCCGAAATCAGGGGGGCAATAAACTCCGACTCGAGTTTTTGTTCAACGGGTTGGACGTCTGGGCCTCTACACCACTGGAGGTCTGTGCACCATCCGGGCCAGGGATGGCCCCAGCCAGGCCACGGTGGCAGTGCGGCGGTTCCCCTACTCTGGGTTTCTTGATGAGCGTGGGAGGGTACCCCCCCGACGGGGACAACCTCGCCTTGTCGTCGCGCCGCGACGGGGGTCGGAGCGCCTTCGGCGCGCGGTGGCTGCCCGCGACGGGGGTCCATGGGGGGCTGTCGGTGGAGCTCGGGTTTGCCGAAGGGCGAGCGTGTCCTGGACTTTGACGACCCGTTTTTCGTGCGATGTTTGCAGCGGGAGCCTGCGCCAAATCTCACATGGGGTCTCGACGGTTCCATGATGGCCCCCGCCAGGCCAACCCGAGTCCCCCGTGCCCGAGTCTTACGTCTCCCCCGATACGGTAGGTTCGAGTCGTGTCGACCGGCGGCGACCCCAGCGCGGGCGTTCAAGGTTGAACGCCGCCGGCGGCCCAGAATCGGTCGATGTTGAACGATCGGACGTTGCGGAGACGGCCGATCGTTCAAGGTTGAACGATCCAGCGCGGTGTCGGGAACCAACGCCGGGGTCGACACGGCACGAACCTGCCGTATGCGAAAGGTACGCCCGCAACCTCTCGGACGAGCTCCAGCAAGAGCTCAAGAGCACGGGGCTGTGCTGCCACCCCGACAGGAGCCCCGCGGGAAGCACACAAGATGCACCGCACGGACCCCCGAGAAGCGGCGGCGCGCACGAGGGGGCGGCGCCAGGGGGGGGGCCTTGTGAGAAGGCGGAGAGCTTCTTAGAAGGTGGGCCCCTTCTGGGAAGCTCCTCCTCCTCCTCCTCCTCCTCCTCCCTCGTCCTCCTCCTCCTCCTCGTCCTCATTCTCCTCCTCCTCCCCTCCTCCTCCTCCTCCTCCTCCTCCTCCTCCTCCTCCTCCTCCTCCTCCTCCTCCTCCTCCTCCTCCTCCTCCTCCTGCCTCCTCTTGCCTCCTCCTGCTCCCCAGGGCTCCTCAGGAGGCCCGTCGGAAGTCCCCGGGCGCTTCCGAGAGGGCCCCTGCCGTCCAAGCAGCCCCCGTGCCTTCTGGGGAGGCCTCTCGCCTCGCGCCGCGCCCTCGGCGCGCGCCGCCGCCGGTCGCGGGCCCGCCATCCGAGGCGGACCAGTGGAGGCGAGAGGAAGAGGAGGAGGAGCAGCAGGAGGAGCAGGAGGAGCAGGAGGAGGACGAGGAGGACGAGGAGGTGGAGGAGGAGGAGGAGGAGGAGGAGAATGAGGACGAGGAGGAGGAGGAGGAGCAGCAGGAGGAGGAGGAGGAAGCGGAGGAGGAGGAGGAGGAGGAGGAGGAGGAGGAGGAAGCGGAGGAGGAGGAGGAGGAGGAGGAGGAGGGGCACAATCACGGCGCTGACATAAGGACCGTTTGGGCTCAAGAGGGGCTCGGGCTTTCGGGCCGCTCCTTGGGTCTGGGTCGGGGAGCCTCTTCGTGGGCGAGAGGCCCGCCGTGGCCAGGGTCAGCCCCATTCGTTCCCTGCTTGGCGCTCCTTCGGACTGCACTTGGCCTTCGGGGGGGGCCCGCCCGTCGCGACGGCCCGACGCCGCTCGGAAAGCTGGTGCGTCGGGGCCCGGGGAGGGGCCCCGGGAACCGAGCCTGAGCTGCCGTCCCACACGTTGCCCCGCCGCGGCGCGGCAGGGGCAGTCCGCTCGCGCGTCGGGCCACCCGGGCTGCGGCGCCGCGGGCGTCCCGCACGCAGGAGGGGGGGGGAAAGGGCACAGGGAGGCGGCCGCGGAGGGGGAGGGAGGGAGGGGGGGAGAGGGGGAGGGAGGGGGCGCCCTCGCGCGGGGGCGCCGCAGGGAGCGCGCGGGGCGGCCAGGCCGCGGGGCAGCCCCTGGCCTTGGCGGCGTCGCGGGAGCACCCGGGGGGCGGGGCCAGCAGCCGCAGCGCGGGCGAGGCCCAGCCAGCGAGGGGGTGGGAGCGGCGAGCGACGGGCGGAGCTGGGAGGCGGCAGCTGGGGCGCGCGGCGGCGGGCGAGGCGGGCGCTGAGGCACTGCCGCCCCAGACCTGCGGCATCCTGATTTTTTCATCACTCAGCATCGTTTCACCGGTCCCCATCCCCATCCCCATCCCCTGCGAGACCCCCGCCACATTACCACCCCAGTCGGGGACACACCCCTCGAAACCCGAAGGGAACGACCTATATCACCATCTAGAGGGGTAAATCGGCCAGTGGGGCCCAGGCCACGCCGCTGGGGATGGGGATCAGTTAAACGATACTCAATCGCGGTGTCCCTGGAGCTCCCGACCTGTTTCCCCGGGACCGGCTTTGAATCTTGAGTCGTTTTGTTGACGGTCATGGGGACCAGCAGGAGCCCACAGGAAGGTAGGATTTGGCTATCGCTTGCCAGTCGCCGATCTATCCGAGATGCACCGCCGATCCCAAGTCAGCATCCCCCCCTCCCCCAAGAGAATCTCCCCCCTCAGAAGGGAGAACGGAGGAGCAGCAACATGGAAATTATGCTGAGGGAGGCGGCGGAAGAGGATGGAGGATGGGGCCCGCTGCCAGCTCAACAGGTTCTCCGAGAAAAAAGGAAAGAAGTACGACGAGCGGAACGGGGAGACATGCCTGGAGTGCCCTGCCACGTTGAAGCTTTGGAGCCAGCACAGCCCAGGTGAGGAGAAGCATTGGAGCGCCAACATGAGGGGTAACATGCAGCACATAGAGGGTTCATACGTGAAGACAAACATCCCTTCCTTGAAGTTCAACGGGGGCAGGCCCATCTACGTCAACCAAAACGTAAACCCGAAAGATAATATTACGATTTACATGTACTTCATTCAGGCCAACTTGGTTTGGGTGGTTGGGCCAGATTACACTGCGAAAAACGGAATGGGCTTTGCTGGTATGGACGCGCAGTGCCCCAGGGATGCGAAGTATTGGTCTTTCCACAATGGAACTGGCTTCGAGAGAAGGCACGTCGACATCAGGGCCGGCACGAATTTGAACAACCCTCCTAAGGGCACAGACCATATTGTTTGGAACGTGACGAGTCACAGTTGGGAACGCGAGCGGATCGTCTGGGAGCACGAGAACACCACCGAGGACGAGAAGGACGACTGAATGAGTCTTCGCGTTTTTAGCTATTGCTGCTCTGCTTCCAGCCTCCGCTGCCGACCCCGTTCCCTGGCCAACGGTGGCTTCAGCTTTTCCAGGCAGGCCCATACAGCCTCCAAGGCGGACTCGTTTCGCCAGGAAAGTTTGACATGAGCGTCGGGTGTACCGATCGACATCGCGCTAATCCGATGGCCATTCAAACGTTTGGAGACTCCCCCTCCTCATCATCATCCTTCTCCTCCACAACCTCTAACAGTGCGTGAGCGTACTCATGGCGTGTACGTGCTCAGAGTTCCCAAGCTCGCCGGCTCCCACCACAGCCACAGCTGGATCTGTCATGGCGCAGGGGGCCAGAGGGAGGCAGGAGGGAAGATAGCACGGGCGGATCGAGTTCGGACGAAAGAGCGGGACTTGGAAAGAGGGGCCACGGCAATTGTGGCATGCAGTTGGTTTCAGCCCCGTCCGCCGAGCGTTTCGGGGAGGGGGTAGTTTTATGGGGAGGGGGGGGGAAGAGAGGGAGGGGGCAAGCTGGGTGCGCTCGCGCCTCGTCTGACATCCGATCCCTCCCTCCCATCCCTGCCCATGGCGCTGGTGTTTCTCTATCCGCGGGCACGTGTCATAGCTGACCTGCGGCTCACCCGGAGGTTCCGTTCCGTGTTGTGCGCAATCGGAAAAAAGGGGAGTTGCGTCAGCAGGGGGAAAGTTGGCGGGTGAGCAGGAGGATGAGCAGGAGAGGATGAGGGCGAACAGCAGCAGCAGGAAGCAAAGCGGGAGGATCGGGAGGGAGAGGAAAGGAAGACCAGGGGAAGGCGGAGGAGAGAAAATGAGGGGGGTGACCACGATGAAGAAAGATTCAGATGCAGAAAAGAGGGCCCTCGCTGGCGCGAGACGAACAACAGCAGCGGGAACTGGAACGGAAGCGGGGGGAACATCAGGACCAGGGGAAGGTTGATGGAGGGAACCACAATGAAGCAAGACTCAGATCCAGAAAAATGGCCCGCGCTGAGGCGAGAGAGCCACCCTGAACGATGGGAGCAACGCGCCGATCCGAAAATGAGACCCACGCTGCAGCGGGAATGCCGTTTTGAAGGAGGAAGCACGGAATGACGCTAACGCTATCGTGGCAGCACCAGTGATAAGGGCCGAGAAATTTAAATTGGCCGTGGGCATGGAAATGGAGCCAACGGTGAGACGGGAGCGCCATTTTGAAAGAGCCGGAAATGCGGAAACGAAGCTAATGACGAAGCAAAATCGCTTTTCTGGAAGGACAGACAACATCCGGATTGGAAATCGCACAAGCAAACACACTTAGTGCGCATCACGTTTAATTTAAAAGAAATGCGCGGAGGGGGAGCGGAAGTTTCGGATAGGAAAAGCACATCGAAAATTCCAAATAAGTGAATCCTGTGTGTGGAAGGCAATACGCGGAGGGGGGCGGGCTATTCATTTTGTGCAAATGTGGACGGAGGGAGGGAGGGAGGGAGGGAGGGAGGAGGAGCAGGAGGAGGAGGAAGAAGAGGAGGAGGAGGAGGAGGACTCCGTCCGCCAGTCTTCTACTACCACCTCTGCCAGCCACCGCGGTTCCTGGTTTCCGTGCTTGCGTTTGAGCCTATCCAGGGCTGTTGGCGTGCAGATGAACGACACGTTCAAGTTCCGCAGCGAAGTTGAACGGGCCTTCTTCCCCAAGCAGTGTTTGCATTCAGGGGTTCTTATTTCATGTCTCAGGAACTGGACCTGTCTGTCGGTCTGGCGGCTATGTTGCCGCCGTCGCCGCCTCGTCGACGCCCGTCGTCTGGGCCTGCCTGTCGGTCGCCGCGCTTGTTGCCGCCGTCCCCTCCCCACATAGATTGCACAACATGTTCTGCACAAAATAGATTGCAAAACACAGAGCGCACCACATAGATTACACCACTGATACTGCGCACCACATAGACCGCACCATCTCGATCGCACCACATAGATTGCACCACCTATATTGCACCACGCAGATCGATCCACATAGACTGTACAGCATAGTTTGCACCACCTTGATTGCACAACAAAGATTGCACAGCATAGGTTGCAGAATCTAGAGAGCACCACATAGATTTCGCAGCACGTATCGTTCCATTTTCATTGCACGGTATAGGTTGCGCCACATCGATTGTACCACCTGTATTGCACAGCAGAAATTGCACAACATCGATTGTACAACCCTGACTGCACCACATAGATTTGCGCAACATAGATTGCACCGAACAGATTGCACCACATGGTTTGCACCACATGGCTTGCACTACATAGGCTGCACCACATCGGTTGTATAACATAGAACGCTCCACAGATGTTGCACCACATAGTGTGTACAACATGTGTATATACATATGTACAAGAGCGCTCATCGTAGATTGCACACAGCAGATTGCACAGCATAAATTCTCCTTTCTAGAAAGAGAATAGACTCTACCCCCCCCCCGGACTTAACGCTTCCCCCTGGGATAGTATAATTTTATATATATATATATATATATATATATAGTCTGCACACTCGTCCATCCTAAATATGAAATCATACCATCCCAGGCAGGCCGGTTCCCCCCCCCTGAGGGTCCATTGTAAAAAACATTGTGCGGTGACATTGTTTGTTCTAACATAACACTGTTTCACGGATCCCTTGCAAAAAAATGAGACGAAGTGCACACGCGCGCGTCGTCGCGCGTGCATGCCGAAATTCTTCACAAACCTTCGGTGCCGGAAGGGTTTCGCAATCGAGTTTCCAAAAAAACATACAGAAACACATGGTTTCGCAACACTAATTTGCTAAAAAAGCTTCCGCGCGAGCTCTTGCGAAATCTTAAGAAAACCATAGGTTTTTCAAGATTTCCACAAAATGGTACCAAACGGGTTTCGCGCGCGCGCATGTCGAAATCTGTCGAACGCCCTTGCGCGTGTGCCGTCGCGAGAATCCTCTGCAAAAAATGGGACGAAGTGCAGACGCGCGCGTGGTCGCGCGCGTACGCCGAAATCCTTCAAAACCCATCGGTTTCGGAAGGATTTCGAAATCGCGCGTCCAAAAAACCTACAAAAACCCAAGGTTTCGCAACACGGATTTTCAACAAAAGCGTGCGCGCGCGCTCTTGCGTCGTCGTCGTCGTCGTCGTCGCCGTCCTCCCTCCTCCCGCGTCGTCGTCGTCGTCGTCGCCTACGTCGTCCTCTGTCTTTCCTCGTGTTCGTCGTCGTCGTCCTCTTTGGCGTCGTGGTCGTTTCCGTCGTCGTTGTCGCCGTGGTCGTCTTTCCTCCTCCTCGTCGTCGTCGTCGTCCGTCGTCGGCGTCTCGTCGTCGTCCCTCCTATTTCGTCGCCGTCGTCGTCGTCGTTGTCGTCGTCGTCGTCGTCCCGTCCCTCGCCGTCCCCGTCGACGTCTTCGTTGGCGACGTCGTCGTCGTCTACGTCGTCGTCGGCGTCGGCGTCGGCGTCGTCGTCGTCTTCGTCGTCGTTGTCGGCGTCGTCGTCGTCGTCGTCGTCGTCGGCGTCGTTGACGTCGTCGTCGTCGTCGTCGGCGTCGTCGTTGTCGTCGTCGTCGGCGTCGTCATCGTCGTCGTCGTTGTCATCGTCGTCGTCGTCGTCGGCGTCGGCGTCGTCGTCGTCGGTGTCGTCGTCGTGGTTGTCGTTGTCGGCGTCGTCGAAGTCGTTGGAGACGTCGTCGTGTCGTCGTAGTCGTTGTCGGCGGCGTCGTCGTCGTCGTTGTCGCTGTCGACGTCGGCGTCGCTGTCGTTGGCAAGTGCCATTTGGTACCCACCGTCACGGTCTCAAGAGATTTTGCGAACCAAGTTGCGGGTGGGTGGGTGGGATGTTTGCGCGAGCAGTGGAGTGGTCAAGCGCGGTGCAGGGTAGTCAATTACACCACCTAGACTGCACCACCTATATTGCACCATACCGGATAGCATCGCACATATTGCTGGAAGCCACTGCTTGGGGTCCACGGTCCACGCTGGCTAACACTCTCTGAGAGTTCCACTATCATTATCCAATCGACTTGCGTGGATCAAGCCAGGTGAATATAAGTAAGTCAGAATAAAACAAATGACACCCATACCAATCGATGTAAAACCAGAGATCCACAGCGAAATCTGGAGCAAGTCGCGGACGCTCGAGCGCCCTCGAGCGCGAGCCGAGGGACAGCAAAAGATGCTGAGTCCTTAGCGGCTTATGTTCGAGGGTCGAAGCCTCACTCTTGATAGCCTGCGCTAAGTGCCCACGTGACGATGCCAGGGGTCACGCGCGCAAGTTACGGCACATGGGCTCGCGACCACGGCGTGGGCGTTCAGGGTTGGTGTGGTAAGACCTCGGGTTGCGCACGGACAGCCCCCTCCCCCAAGGTTACACCGGTTGGCCTCAACAGGCCCCCCGAGGTAGTCCCAGCTGGCCTCAATGGGCCTCCCCTAGGTAGTCCCAGCTAGCCTCAACAGGACCCCCCTGAGCAGTCCCAGCTGGCCTCAGCAGGCCCCCCGAGTAGTCTGGGGCGGTCTCAACACCTCGACGCTCCGGTGAGGCCAGCTGGGGCTGCTCAGGGGGGTCCTGTTGAGGCCAGCTGGGACTACCTGGGGAGTGCTCTCTGTGCGCACCCCGATGCCTGACCGGGGGGAGGCGAAGCGCGAAGCTCCTCGGCCACGAACGTGGTGGCGCGCACAATGTCCAGCGTCGTGGCTCCGATGATACTCATGGGGTCCAGGCCCTTCTTTGGGGAGGCCTGCTGAAGGCAGCTGGGACTACCTTAGGGGAACAAACAATGACATAAACATAAAAACTCTGAGGTCCGCGCGGACTTCTCGGATCGGCGCTGGGGCCATTGGCGGCGCCTCCAGGGCCGCCCCTGGCGAGCTCCGCGCGCCAGGGAGGGGGTCGAGCGCCGATCCGAGAAATCTGCGCGGACCTCCGAGTTTTTATGTTTATGTCATTGTTTGTTCCCCTATACCTGGGGGTTCTGTCTGTGCGCCGCCCGAGGCGAGCGCCGCTGGCGGCTCCATCGGCCCGAGTCGGCCGACTCGGGCTTCGGGAGGCCGAGGCTCGGGGGCGAACGGGGCGTCCAGCGTTGCCCGAGCAGCAGAGCAGGTTTTCTCTGCAGGCGCGGGCCGAGGAGGAGGAGGAGCTCCTCTTCTTCGACGAGGAGGAGGAGGAGGAAGAGGAGGAGGATCTTCTCGACGAGGAAGAGAGACGGAGGA